GGCTGCATCTCGCGTTTTTTCGACAACTCGCGATGACCCTCGCGGAGCCGGGGGCGCGGGCGGGCGTGGTCGGGATCCTCCCGGGGCTCACCCTCGCCTTGGCGAACGGCCGCGCGCCGCGGTCTTTCGGCCTCCCGACCGCCCCTACCGCGCAGGTCGAGCGCGTGCTCATCGTGGCGGAGCTTTACCTCAGCGCGGCGCAGGAAACCGGGGATGTGGATCTCGCCTTTCTCGGCCTGCAGCTCCTTCGCGCGAACCACCTGCAGCCGCATTTTGGCTTTCAAAAACAGCTCACAAACGTCTTCGCGGCGGCGTCGAGAATTCGGACGGATTGGCAGACGCGTGCGTCCGGGCAGCTCGTCGAGGCTTTTCCCCACTGGCAGGAGTATTTAAAGCTGGTGAAGCGGGATAACCTCCGGGCGGCCGCGCTCTACTGCCAACTCGAGGAGGGAAATCCAAAGGAGGCAAAAGGAGCGGAAACGAGTGAGGAAGAGGGAAAGAAAGGAGGGAAAGAAAAGGGCAAGGAAAAGGGGATGAGCGCGGTAGGATGGTCGCCCTCTCCTCACCCTGAGGGTGAGGGGCAGCATGAATACTTCACGAGCCGCCGCCGGGAGGATCTCCAGCGTCTGTCTGAGTTGGAGGCGAATATCGAGGCGGCCGTGCGGGCGCGACTTCCGGAGCTTTCCAAGGGGTCTTCCACCCGTCGTGGGCGGCGAGGCGAGGCCGATGTGGCTTCCTCAACCTCGCCAGTGCGCGCTAAGGAAAGGAGAGGGGGCTCTCGAAATCGCACCGCACGTTCATCCTCGAAAGGGGATGAACGCGATGATCTCAAGGAGGGAGGGGTGGAGAAGGAAGTGGAGGGTGTTGCCACTCCCACAAGGGCGAGGTCGTCGCCACCTGTCCCCTCACGAATGTCTCCCCCAGAGCCGTCGTCGGAATCCTTTGCCACCCCGCTAGACTATGAAGAATTTAGATTCTAGCAGGGCTCCAGATAGCCTAGAGTAACCCTTCTCTTCTCCTCCTCTGGTCAAATAGGAACAGTAATTTGCGGAGCACTCTGCTTCATTTAGCATCCAACCAAACCATGGTATATCGTTGGTATTGGAATCAGGAAGGAGGTCGTAATGTTGCACGTATCTTTAGAGTTGCCTCTTTCTCTCTCTCTCTATAAAAATAAATAAATAAATATATATATATATATATATGTATATTTATATATTCAAGGCAATTCGGTCAGCTTATTCTTAGACTTTATCCCTCGTGATGGACAACCCTGATGCCTCGCCTGATTCTGTACCCTTTACCATCTTATTCGCTGTTTATCCCTTCCGTGTGGATGGACTCACTTGAATGATAAATTCTAATAACTTTACATACTCTTCTATTGCTGTAGTTTATGAATGCGTCTTATAAATAAAAGGTTTTTTTATTGAACATAATTTCAAAAGGAGAATTCCCATTCGTTTTGCCTATTTCTCTATATATATTTTATTTTCATTCGTATATCACTAGATACACCTATACTAATCTAATATCAATTTATCATTCTTATTTTCTTTGCTTCGTATATATTTAGTAGTTGGACTCATGAGTTCCTATAAAGACCAACGGCGTGTGTCTAGTCTAAGATGGATCCTACGCACCACCATTTACGTCGTAGTACCGCCGATTATTTTTGGTTTCCTTCTACTGACCTTTGCGTGTATGTACTATTACATTCACTTTACTCTTATCAACCCCGCGGGCAATCCGAACTCCCACTTCGAAGGGGATAGCACGACCAAAACGTTCTCACTCTTCAACGGCTCCGAGGCTGTTGTGCATTACCACGACGTCGACCCAGAGGTCAGCTACACCTTGCTCGAGCCCGGCACTCTGCGCGTTGGCGAGGTCGTGCGGAATCCCGCGTTAGCCAACTTCGAGGATTGCTTTTTGGATGAGAGGGAGCTTGCGGAACACGTCTTCCCGCCGGTGCGGCGCTATCTTTTACACAATACAGTCAAGGGCAAGCGCTATGAAATCCATATTAGCTACCCCGGATCGCCCCCGCTCGGCTTCCATCTTCTGTTATATCACGTTCGCGCCTCCGCCGTATCGCTCGCGGGCGCCTCGCGAAGCCCGCGCTCGGAGCTTTCAAAGGGCCCTCTTTCTAGTTTCGGTTCGGAGAGCGGCTCTCATATACTTTTGGATACGGAGGTGCGGATGATCATGATGGATCACACACGACCCAACCAGTACGGCTCTCATCAGACCATTCATTACGATGCGAAGGATTTAGAGAGGCTGGGGAAGGAGGATAATAATAATGATAATAACATTGTCCAGTTTCTTAGTGAGGCGCAACAGGGAGGGCTAGAGGAGGATCCCTTCATTGCGGTGGTGGAGGTGCGGCCGTATGTCTTGGCGCTTTCTTCGAAGAGCCCATGCCTTTTCCCGGAGATGAGATATAACATCCAACTGGAGAATCTCACGGGAAACTTACTGCCGATGACGATTATACCTATTATTGTCGGCATCACCATGATTATGATGCTCACTAGTGCTTTGCTTTGGTTTGTATACCACAAAGGGTTTCTGATAACTTCGCCTGAGAACCAGGAGTATATGTATGAAGCGAAGATGGATTGATTGGTTGTACTCTAGTAATACTCTGTTTCAACTTATGCGTTACACTCGATTTTATTAAATGGGCAAAATGCAAGGATTTCTCAATTATATTCTTTTTCGTATTCTTTAGGTACGACTTAAAAAAAAAACCATAGTTTTTTGTATAGTACAGACGATTTAATCGGTAAATGATAACTTTTACATGCCAAAAGGCATTTCTTAACTTTAGGACTATCAGAGGGTTGTGATTTTTTATTCTCTATTAAAAATAAATAGGGAAAGGCCAAGAAATTCATAACATATTTTAATTGCGCAGTATATCATTCTATCATCCTTTAAGAAGGAAAAGGTGTTTTGTTTGATGAATTCGTTTAGTTTCGATAAGATACCCTCTTTTTCTTTGTAGAATTTTTTACTCTGGTGCTAATTCTTTAAATCTTAACTAACTTTCTATGAGAGTAAGATTGCATTCTAAATGCTCACATGACGAGTGAAGCTATTTGATACATATAGTGCTGGGACGAAAAAAACATCTCAATGCCTCACTAGCGCTGCAGGATTTTGTGAAGTAGAGCCCTTTACTCTGCACTTTTCGTTGACTTTGCACTCTCCAGTTACTTCTCCCTTCCTCTCCCTCATTTTTTTTTTCTGGAAAATGAAGTAGCAAACCTAGTTCTGAGGGTTAATTTGAGAAAGAATAGCAGGTTTTTTCTTTTCACAAGCCCAAAAGTATCCTAACGGTGGCGAAAAGCTTTCTGAGGCACAACACGGTCAGTCCTTTTGGTACCGAGTCGTCCGGGTGTTTTCACTGTCCCCTTTCCATCTGGATCGCTTATTTTCCGTCTCACCGAGAACGCGAGAGCGATTCGTGGCGGGTTTAACAAGGAGGATTGTGGTGTGGTATGAGAAACCCCCCAACACAAGGGAAGACGAGAACCAATACCTACTCCACTCTAAGAAATGGGTTTAATAGGGCTTCGAAAGTTCATTGAAAGCAGCAGCTGCTGCCGTTTTCTTCCCAATCCGCTCGATGAGGATCCCGAGTTCGATTCGTCCACGCACGTCGAGAATGATGAGGGGGTTTCCCCCTCACATGGGGGGGATCCCCCTCTAACGAGCTCCTCTGCCGTCTCCTCTCCTTCGTCTCGTCAGGTGCCCTGCGTGGACCACGTGTTGATCGACATGAACTGCATCGTTCACTCCTGCGTTGGCCGGGCAAAAGGGCTGGATAAACGCGAGGTGATTCAATCCATTCTCAGTCATTTGCAAGTTCTTTTAACGGAGGTGATGGCGCCACGGCGGTCGTTGACGTTTTGCCTCGACGGCCCCGCGCCCTACGCGAAACTCCAAACCCAACGCCTTCGACGGCGAAAAGTCGCGTTGATGGACGCGACGGTGGACCAGCTCACCCCGCTCGCGATCACGGCGGGGTCGCTTTTTCTTGTCGAGTTGGAAAACGCGTTGGCCGCGCAGTTCAAGCTGAATCACGGGCGAGGTTTTCTTCGTTCGTTTTGCCCAACCTACCTCTTCGGCTCCACCGTGTTTGGCGAAGGGGAGGCGAAGATCACCCGCGCGCTTGCCTTTTTAGCCTCCTCCGCGGTGCACCTCGACGGGCAGGAAGGGGATGGGGGCGGGAAGGACCGAAACGGTTTCCCGGCGAGGGATTTTCCCCGTCAGGTGGACTCCCCCCGGCCCCCTCCCGCCGCGTTGGATTCCACGCACCCCCCGTTTTACCACCCCGACCACACGGTGATGGTGGTGGGGAACGACATCGATCTCGTCCTCACCTGCCTCGCCGCGACGCCGTTCCACAACCTCGCCGTGTTGAACCCCGCCTCGCTCCAATTAATCGACCTGGCCGCGCTGCTGCATCGCTGGCTGCGGGCGAGCCCGGCGAGTGGGAGCCCCGCGCGGCTCCCCCCGCGTTTCCTCCCGTCCTTTCGCATCGACCTCGTCTTCCTGTTTTTGCTGAACGGCGGGGATCACTACGCGGGGGCCGGCGCGATCGCGGAGGGGCTCCTGCGGCGGTACCGCGT